GGGGGGGCGGTGGCGAGTGAGCTGTGACGCCTGCCTGCCCACATTGATTGATGCCCATAGACACGATACATACGTGCGGTGCGTGCCTGTCCATCCCATCCCATCTATCGTACGAACGATCTGCCTGCCTATCGTCCTCTCTACGCGTGTGCCTGCCTGCCTGCCGTCCCGTCCGTCCATGGTGCCTTGCCTCATGTCTGTCAGTTTCGGCTCACCTGACTGGCGAGCGAGCAAGCGACGAACGGACCCACTGTTTTTCACTTCACCATTGGTTGGTGGCCGCCGACATGTGCATGCCATCGGTGGGTGCAGACAGACACCTACCGTGGCTTCGGTGTACTTGGGGGTTTATTTGTCTCTTCGCAAACACAACACAACACACCACACAGTACTGACTGTCTCAATTTGCCGTGCCGATCGTTATATGCCGTGGTGTGTCCTGCGTGTCCTGTGTGTGCCGTGTGCCGCCGCCCCGCCTGTCCTAATGGACGGATGGCAAGGCGACGCAAGACACACGCATGCGTGCTTTCAGGTGACTCACTCCTAAGACCTTCCTGTGCTGCTTTTGACCTGCACAGAGACGCAGGGAAACAGACAACATGCATGTGGGCTGGGCACACGAGAGAGAGGGTGGGGGCGGGGGTGAGAGCGGACACACTCATGTCTTCTTTAATTGGTTTGTTTTATCGGTCAACAACTACTTGCTGTCAAAAGCTCTCCGATGCGATGCGACGCGACACACACACGTACCGTTGCGTACCTGATTGACCAGGCAGCTCAGTGATGCGTACGTAACAACCTGATGTGTCGGGGTGTGTGTGTGTGTGTGTGCTGCTCGCAAAGTGCGGGCGGCTCGCACCGCACCCCCTGGTGGATGCACCAACTGGCTGCACACACTCATGCATATTGACCTGACGTGACGGACACACACTTGTTTGGTTTTCTTTTGTTTTGGTTCAGCGCCTTTCTTTCGTTTCTTTTCGTTTTTCCCAGGCTTTGTTTCTCTCTCGTCAAGAACCTCTGCACATCAGTCAGTCAGTTGACAACGGAGGGTTTCCTTTTCCTTTTCCTCCTAACAGTTGGCCTTTTTCCTCTTTCTCACCAGTCAGTTATGGCCAGTCAGTCAGTCAGGTGTGCGTGTTGCGTTGGTGCTTTGCTTTGCTTTCATGATGCCGGCATCATTGTGGATGGGGGCAGCTGTGCTGGAAAGCCAGACAGACAGACAGACGGCCGGCCGCTGTGTGTGGCCTTTCGTCCCTGCGGTGCGTGGGTATGATGGCCGGATGGATGGCTGGCTGGCTGGCTTGGGGGAGGGGGAGGGGGACGGGTGGGTGTGTCTTTGTCCATCATTGTGCATTACATGTCAACACACATACATTACATGGTCTCGTTGATTGACAACATGCTGCTTGCCTGCATGTCTGAGTGGGGTGGATGTGGAGACAGGCAGGGCAGCCAGCAATTTAAGGCGGGCCGGGCCCTCTGTTTTCCTATGTATGTGGTGGCCCATATCACTTACCCACTGACTTACCTTACCCACCGACATGGCATACACACAGTGAGTGACTTTCTGCCTGTGTGTCTGTCTGTCTGTCGAGCTTTGTGTCGCGTATGTGTGTGTTGTGTATGTACGTATGTGTTATGTCAGTGGTCCCTTCTGTTTTGGGCCAGCGGGGGCCCAGGACGGACAATCGCGGACGGATCGCACCCTCACCTGACACGATCGCTTTCATGCCTGCCTGCCTGCCTCCATGGATGTGCCTATGCTTGCTTCGTCTGAATCAGAGAGTGAGTGAGTGGGAGTGGTCCGACCCTGCAGAAGTTTCCAGATGGTCACATGCATGCATTACGTTCCTTGTCCAATGGATGGGCTCTCCCACCTCTCTCTTTCACGCGTCACGCCACCTCACTTTCGCCCAGCCACCTGACCGAGCGACATACCGCACCGCCACACACACATTTTTCTACCTGGCCGTCTCTCTATCTATCTAGATCTAGCTTTCTTGCCTCCATCTCTGCCTACCTGCCTACCTGCCTCTCACACTGGCTGCCGTGAAGCTAAGCGGGCTTTTTGTCGGTCGATCGGAAGTTTTTGCCTCGCCCGCAACACCCGCAACATGAAGTAGCTAAGAGCTTACAGCATAATAGGACGGCTGGCTGGCTGGCTGGCTGGATGGATGGATGGCCGGACGCCCGAACGCCGATCGACTCACTGTGGCTGGGGCTGTGTCTGTGCTTTCTGTCTGGTGCTCTCCCTCCCTGCCGCTTGCCTGCCTCTCCCTGTCTGCCTGCCTCTAGTGCTGTGCTGTGCTGTGCTGTGGTGCGTGGTGTCCTTATTTGTAACCCATCGATCTGCCTAGTTTGCTACTCGACTCGCTTCTCGACTCGCTTTACTGCCTACCTGCCTCCTTATGATCCAATCCATCCAACAGATACATCCACTGTGGATATCTCCCACCCACTTGCTGCCCCCCTCTCCCCCCCTCCCTCCCTCCCTCCTTCCCTCCCTCTCTGTCTGACTGTCTGTGTCCGGCTTACACCGTTCATTGGGTCGTTCATGGTTGCTTGATTGCTCTGCCTGCGATTTGGCTGACTACTGCAGAATGGTCAGACAGAGAGAGAGAGGAGGCAGGAAAGACCAGACCGATATGTGGACGGCTGTATCTCTGCGCCGACGGACCGACAGATGATCAATCGACATGTACACATGGCAAGTAGTCTCTCACACACCACTGACACGCAGCCACAGGAGATGCAGACGAAAAAGACATAACACGCACGCGCTGTCCAGGCAGATTGAAAAAGTCCTCGGTTAGCCCCTCTCTCCCACGCTCCACGCCTGCAGCCTGGTGTGTGGTCTGTGATCGTGAGTGTGTGTCAGTCTGTCCTGCTGCCGATGAGTGAGAGAAGGAAGATGAAGATTTGGATGATGTCGATGTAGAGCATCAGGCTGGCAGACAGACAGACACCGAGACATTACACACACGCACACACCCGCAGCCATCCGACAACTGACTGACCTGGCGAAGACGTAGTCGTCAATTGAGAACTGGTGCCTCCTGTGCTTCCCGCCAACAATCAGCTGAACCACACGCACCCACATGTGCACAAGATGCACTCTCTCTCTCTCTCTCTGTGTGTGTGTGTGTGTGTGCAGGCCGCACCTGTGTGTCGTAGACGAGGTACATCGAGAAGAGCAGTGTGCCCAGGCCGGCGTAAATCTTCTGTGCCAGTTGCACATTCGGGAAGAAGGGGATGATGAAGCTGAAGATGAACAGCACTATCAGACCCACAAACAGGTAACCGCCCTTCCCTGCACCACACACAGCACACAGCACACAGCACACAGCACACACGAACCCTCCTGCGTCTCTCTGTATCTCTGTGTCTCTGTGTCTCCTTGTCTAACCCCACCTGTGAAGTCGATTTTGGTCTGGATGGCGAACACGGTGCACGCGCAGAAGACTGCTCCGGTGGAGGCGACGGCGATAGCGATGGCCGGGATGTCATACTGCATCGTCGTCACCTGCGGCACACACAACACCGTGTGTGTGAGAGTAGATGGCTGTTGGTCGGCCTCCGTGTCTCTGTCTGTTTGTCTCACCCCGATGAAGAGGCCTTCACATCCCGTAAACAGGAAGAGCAGCAGATAATTGGTGGGGTACGTCCTGGCGGGGCCCTCACAGCATGACAAAGCTGCACACACACACAGACACACAAGCGATGCTCAATGTGCTGAGCTGCGCGTCTCCCTCATGTGTGTCCTTCCGTACTGATGAGGCTGGCAAACATGAGTATGAGGGCGAGAATGAACAGCCAGGGGTTTTTCAGCAGCCACTGCTTCGACCCCTCAATGAAGAACAACGCCGCAATGGCAAATGTCAACTGCACATCCGGCAGGAGCGAAACAGCCATGTGCCTCTCTGTCTGCCTGTGTGTCCTTCTTGCCCTGCTGACCAGCAGCTGGAAGCTGAGGATGGCGTAGACCTTCCGGATGAACGCATGGCGGATCTCAATCTGACAGCCACACAACACACACACACACGCACACACACATACAGACACAGACACACAAGTCCGTCTCTGCTCGGTCACACAGCCACATGCTGTCTCAGTGTCCCACCGGCATCTCCCCTCCCATATACATCTGCTGGATACCGCTGCCTCCCTGATAATGACTCAGACCCGCCTCAGGCTTGTGATGCGCACTCCCAGGGTGCGCCGCCGTCCCGTACATGACGGCTGGCTGACTGTCGTAACCACCACCACCCTGGTAGCCCCCCTGGTACACTGGCTGTGGCTGTGGGGCGTATGGTTGATATGTGGGCTGCTGCACGGGCTGGTTGCCGTACTGGATGATGGGCTGCGGCAGGGGCGTCTGTGCGTACGGCTGAGTGGGCTGCTGAGAGGGGTAGGCGGCTTGCGGCGAGTCGCCGTATGGTGGAGGAGTTGGGTGGGGCTGCTGGGCTTCTTGATACCCATGCCCAGTCTTACTCACCAACGCCATCGGGATCATTTTGGCAACGCGCGGGGTCTCTCAAGACGAGGCGACTGTGTGGTCGTAAGAATGCGGCACGAGGAGTCGCTTTCCTCCAATTTGTTCCTGGAGAAAAGGACGAATTGGGGGGGCTTAGGAATGCGAGCTCCTCTGGCGAGGATCGTGACTTGGTCGAAGGCATTTCAGCAGCAAGGGAATACAATACAGGGCATATGTGCTTAGATCTGCACGTCACGAACAGGCATGGTGCTCACGGCCGCCGTGAGCACCAGCTCACCACAAGCATCTTTGACTGACTTCACAGATGCACGGACGATCAAAACTCCCACACATGACATGACATGACATGACATGACATGACACACAAGAAGCAGCTTCTACCCCCACACACATGCAGATTATCGACAGCCAGCGGTCACCCAGCGGCCCGTCGGCCAGTGAGTGGAGAAATAGGTGCGTGAGTAGTCCATCAGCCTCGCTCGCGCGGGTACCCCAGCACCTTCTCCATGCGATCAAAGAAGTTCCCCTTCCACCCATGCAGACACCGCTCGTATGCCCCGGGATTGCCGAACTTGTCTTCGCCAGGTATGTTCGTCTGCTTGAGCTCTATGCGGGTGACGCATTCGGCCTCCTCGATAAAGCGGATCTCCACCGTTGAATACACATCGTCCGCCCACTCGGCACTGCATCCACGCAGACATCCGGCACCGGCATCCACACAGCACAGGCAGACAGACAGACAGAAATACAGACCCTGCCTGTGCTGAGCGAGTGTGAAGGTCACGTGTTGCATGCCAGTGCAGGCTTACAATCTCCACTTCTGCACTATCTTGCTCGGCTCCTCGAGGACGACATTCTCGCCGCACACGCCGCCAGCGAAAAGGGAAAACTTGCCGCCAACCGTGGCGTCCTGCCATAGGTTGCAACGGATGACAGACACGCACAAACGAGCTCACTCCCTCTCTGTGAAGATCCTGAGCCTATACGCATCTCACCATCTGTGTGGCGGCTCCCAGTGCCATCCTCGTCAGGTCATCAGCGCTCAGGAGTGCCTGATACAGCACCTTCGGCGGCACGGCGAATTTCTCCTCAATCGACACATCTTTGGACGCAGCTGCAACCATGATGCGCTGAGAGGCCAACACAGTGCACTTCGTTTGGATTGGCGATCCTCTTGCGAGCTTGGACGCGCAGATCTCCCCTCCTCTCGCACCATGAAGGCATTGGCATGCTCTCTGCTGCTCAGCAGTTTGATTGGAGAGAGTTTTGTCAACCATGTATCGGCAGATGCATCGCAAGACGACATCGATGCCCCGTGGCCAGATCAGGTACAAGGTATACACGCAACACGTCCAGACACGTGCAGGCAGGCAACTGCTGCGTGCCTTTTGCAGCGCTTTGACGCGCCTGCGCCTTCCCCCCTTCTGCTGAGCAGTGAAGCTTTCATGAGTGGCCTCTCCGTTCGAGCGCGTGCCGCCTCCCGGGCGTCTGCTTTCCGCTCAGGAGTGCGGACACCGTCCCTCGGCTACCCTCTGAGATCCATCGTGGCCAGTCCAGGCATCCAGCGTGCTATGGTTGATGGGCCGAGGTTGCATTTCAGGACGCAGAGCGGGCCGGCAGCGAAGAGCACCAGCACCCTCATGGCACGAGCGAGAGGTCAGCACGTCTGCAGCACAGCTCATCTGCTTGCTCTGCGCTCCGGTGTGGATGAGTTTCTTCGTTTCATCAGTGCACACGCCCCGGACGATGTTGTCGAGCAGCACATCGACGGCGGCCGATGCTCCGGCGACCGAAGAGGAGGAGGAGGAGGAGGAGGAGGACCGTCTGGGTGCGGGCGCTCGGGGCGGACACGCTGTGCCTGAGCAGCCTGAGGTGGGGGGAACAGCCAGACAGCCTGACAGCCAGCCACCGAGTGAGTGCCTGTTGCTGCCTTTTGGTATGATCAGATCTCCGCTGAGGAGATGGAACTGCAGAAGAAAGTCATGGAGGTACACACGGACGCCCAAACCACACCCGCATAGCGGCCCACACAGACGATACATCAGTTTCTGTTTCGTTCGCTTCGTTGTGTTGTGCTGGGCTGTGTTGTGTTGTGCAGCACCAGAAGGCAGCCGCCCTCCTGTCGCCGGCAGAGGAGGCAAGGTCGCTCGTCGAATACGCAGACGGGTACTCATATATGCAGACACATCAGCACACACCGCGTCCATCCGTCCGTGTGTGTGTGTGTGTGTGTGCGGGTTAGATACGCGACCATATCGACCATATCGAGTCACTTCGAGGGCTACCCCGGCGGCGGAGTGGTGCAGTTCGCCGTCGACGAGGAGGGCAGGCCCATCCTCTGCCTCTCCGGCCTCTCCACACACGGACAGGTAAGAAAGGGACAGAGGACAGACAGACAGATGTCATCAAGACGCCTGCTTGTGTGCGTGTGGGTCCTGGTGCCTGCCAGGATCTGATCAAGAACCAGAAGGCAGCAGTGACCATCCGGGCTCGAGACTTTAAGGTGGGTGGGCGACGTAAAGCAGTTCCATGTGTGATGCTCCCTTTCTGCCTGCGTAAAGGGTCTGTCTGACGGCCGTGTGAGTCTGGTTGGCACCATGACACGCGTGACGGCCGATGAGACGGCCCCTCTGAAGGAGGCCTTTCTTCGGAAACACCCAGAAGCATACTGGGTCAACTTCGGTCAGCAAAGCAGCCAGCTACCACTCTCCCTGCGTCCATGGCATATGCATCTGTCGTGTGTTGTGCAGGCGACTTCAAGTGGTATCGAATGGACGAGGTGGTCGGCCTGCGCTTTGTCGGCGGATTTGCGAGGTCACTCACATGCACATGCACACACACACACAGACACATTGGTGAAGGGGTGAAGACGTATGTGTGCAAATGTGTGCAGGGTGGGCGACATCGATCCTGCGGAGTACTTGGCGGCCAAGCCTGACGACATCATGGCGTTCTCTGGTCCCGTTGCCGGACACATGAACGCGGACCACGGCGACGCCAATGTGGCCATGGTATACACGGGTGGCCAACACACACCCCACTGCGCATTTGTTTGTAAAGGGGATCTGTCTCTTGGCGTGTCAATTGCAAACACAGGTGAAGCACTACATCGGTCTGCCCGTCGACACTGCTGACATAACGACCCTCGACCGACTGGGAATGGTCAGTCAGTCACGCCAAACCCGATCAGACAGACAACAGCACGAAGGGATGCCGGTGCTGCATCCATCATGTGTGACCTGTGCTGTGTGCGGGTGGGATGCAGACACTGAAGGTGACGCGGGAGGGGCAGTCGATGAAGCTGCGGCTGCCCTTTATCAGGCCGGCCGAGAGCCGCAAGGAGATCAAAGACATACTCGTAGACATGACACGCGCGGCCAAGGGTGCCTCTGCCCCGGCAGAGGACATGTCCGACCTTGACAACGATGCAAGCGCCTGAGCATGCAAAGACAGACGCCTGAATGTGCGTGTGAGTGTTCTGCAAAGCAGTGAGTAGCGAATGGATTGCGGCTGGTTGCATGTTTTTGGTCGGCCTTCGTGTGAGGGATTTATCTGTGTGGGGGTGTGCCGCTCTCGGGCGTGCATGGGAGCTGCAAAAGCATATATGGCTGCCATCCTCCAGCTAATTGGTGGATGGAATTGTGCGTGTGCCTCTGTTTGTGAGTTTGGTGTTCGTGTGGTCCCTGCTCGCTCGTGCCTTCATCCTGCATGCTCATCGGTTGATGAATGGACTTGGCAATGAATCTGTGTGTGGGTGAGGATGGTTGACCGAGCGACCGACAAACACGTCCATCATTCACAACGCTTCATTCAGTAGTACATGTCTTGTTGTACTTCGTCTCTGATGGCCCGCCCCATGCCCATCGTCAGAGTCAGCCGCGGGGGGCCCTCCCACGCACGCACCCTATCGACCAGCTGCGGCACATCCTCCTACACACACAGACACACACAGAGAGACATAGAGAGGGAGGGAGGGGGGCGTGTGTTGATGCGTGTGTGCATGGGCCATGGCGAGAGGTTCCGGCACTTACATCGGCGAGTTTGCGCCCCAACACAACAGAATCGTAGCCCAGCATACCGATGTCACTTATCTGCACACACACACACAGACGGGCGGGCGGGCCAATCACACACCATCCACTCCATGTGTCCGCGTGTCGGGTCGGTCCTCACCTGTTTGTAGTCCTGTATGCCGCCGGCGACGATGGTGATGACCTCTGGGTGGATGCGGTCGCGGAGCTTCCCGGCCTGCAGCGGCGACAGACGGCCGTCAACACGGTCCCACTGGTTCACCTGCGCACATGACACAGAGATGGAGCGCCTTACCACACACACGTGCCTCTCTACCATGATGATGTTTGCCCCCTGTTTGACGGCGTCGTCGGCCTCCTGCTGTGTGTGCACCTCCACGACGGTCTCGCAGCCCATGACAATGGCGGCCTCCATCATGTGCTCCATGTCCTGCCCCAGCAGCAGGGAGTTTAGCACCACCCCGTCGGCCCCCATCTCGACGGCATAGGCCATCTGCAGGGGGTGCAGCATCAGGTCCTTCGCAATGATCGCAGGCCGCTCACTGAAGCGCACCCCCCGCACCCTGAACTCCTCCTTGATCTTGCGGATGTCGTCATACGAGCCGCCCCAGAACGACTGGTCCGTGTTGACGAAGATGGCGTCGAATCCCATGTTTGTCAGAGCGCAGGCCATCTCACTGGCGTCGCTGTAGGAGAGGACACGTCGCTGAGAGGGGTCCGGGTGGGTGGGGGACTCCCGCTTGAGGTCGGCAATCATCGTCAGCTTGTGGCAGAAGTCCGAGTCGTTGCGCGGCGGCCGCAGGCTCTCGGAGATCTTGATGTTGACGGGGCTTCGCACGTACTGCAGACGCATCTGAAGCAAGCAAGAGAAGCCACACACATAGAGGCGACCAACCTACACCACATCCACAGCCCAGCCCAGCCCAGCCCAGCCTACCATGAGCGGGTCCATGTCGCTGCTGTGTTCTTCCACGAGCCGCTTCACCTCGGCCTTTTTGGCCTCAATCATCCGGGCGAACATGTCCCACGGCGCCTGCGGGTCGCGGCCGTCAGACCCCATCCGAACCACATTCTGACGGCGCCAGGACCTCCTTCGCTGCATCCTCATAATAGGGAAGCCGCGCACAAAAGCCGAGTCATGGTGGGTCGGCGGATAGCTGGGCGCGTGCATGTCATCGCCGTGTGCTGCATGGCCCATTCTTCTCCTCTGTGCGCTGGTCATCAGAGTAGCATCAGAAGATCGGTGACGGTCAGGGCGCGATGACTCATGGGATGGAAGGCATCGACGACGAACGAACGGTAGAGAGCATGGCGGGCGCGGCCTGCTGGGCAGATCTGACGATGGTGGTTCATCGGCTGAGACTGATGTTGACAGGAGGACAGAGATGCCGATGGATGCAAGCCGCATTGCGGGAGATTGAGAAGGCAGCCGTGAGAGAGAAGGGGGAAGAAAACACGCCTTTGGAAAGCTCGCCACAGGTGACAGAATTGCTGAATTTGGTGCTGCAGCCGGGTTCCTGCTTGACGCACTAGCTGTGTATGAGCATGAGCAGCTGATTTCAAGCAAGATCTGTGCGTCTCCCGGGCTGGTGGTCACTGCAGCATCGTCGTGTTGTACCAATACGAGCATGGCACTGGCCCGCCGCCTTCGGATGATCTCGCTGCTGCTGGCCATCTCCACCTGGCTGCTCCCATCGGCCCTGTCGGTGGACCGGCACAAGTTCAAGAAATGCAGCGAGTCCTCCCCCTGCCGCAGATACCGCAGCTACATCAGCCGAGTGCAGGCGCTGCCCGACTCGCTCTACACCGTCGACCCATCATCCGTCGCATTCGACAAGAACAACGTCACTCTCACCTGGACCGTCAGCCACAGGCATCACGACGGCAAGCTGCAGGGCGTGCTGCAGGTGCTCGAGGGCGGGGCACTGCGGGTGACGGTGGATGAGGTCGCTGGCTTGCGCGAGAGGTATCGTCTGCCAAAGGATGACGCCATCGTCGACTCTCAGCTGCGGCCGCAGCACGGTGCTGACGTGAGTGTGGGGGCGACGGAGAGTGCTGTGTCGTTTGGGTGTTGGGATGCCACAGCCAAGAGCATCACGCCCGGCCGGGTGGTGCTGCAGCATTCGCCCTTCAAGCTGGCCTTCTACGTGCGGCAGCGGCTGGTGCAGGTGGTCAACGGCGACCAGCTCATGAACCTCGAGCGCTATCGCAAGAAAGAGGAGCCACCCCCCCCGCCCCAACCTCCCGCCGCCCAAGCAGCTGCTGCAGATGGCGAAGCAGACGAAGAGGGCGATGAAGGCGACGAGCAGCAGCAACAGCAGGAGCAGCAGGAGGGGGATGAGGGGAAGAAGGAGGCTGCAGCGGAGGCTGAGGGCGTTGCCAAGGATGAGCCAGAGGCGAAGGTGATTGTGGATGCCGTGTCTGTGGATGCGGACGGTGCGTGGGAGGAGAGCTTCGGGGGTCACCGCGACAGCAGGCCGCACGGGCCCTCGGCCGTGGGCGTCGACGTGGCCTTCATTGGCGGTGAGTGAGTGAAGGAGTGGGTGGGAAGGAATGAGACCCAATAAAGACAGGGATGGATGAAACCGATTGTTATGTTGTATCAGTGGAGCATGTGTATGGCTTGCCTGAGCATGCCGCCCCCATGCCGCTGCCGTCCTACCCAGAGCCATACAGGTGCCTGCCTGCACACCAACCATGCACACACACACACAAACAAACCAACCAACCAAGCATCCCTCTCATGTCAGGTTCTTCAATCTGGACGTGTTTGAGTACGAGCTGGACAACGAGATGGCCCTCTACGGCACCGTCCCGCACCTCGTCGCTATACACGACAGCCCCAAGGGCCAGCCACCGGTCGTCACGGGATTCCTCTGGACCAACCCCTCAGAGTCATGGGCCAAGCTCATGCAGGAAACCGTGAGCACAGAGAGGGAGGGGGGAGATGATCCACAGTATGTGTGTCTGGATGTGTGTGTGTGTGTGTGTGTTAGAAAGAGGGTGACTTGCCGACCAAGTACTCGTGGTGGGTGGCCGAGACCGGTGTGATGGACTTCTTCGTCTTCCTTGGCCCCACTCCCATGAACGTCATGAAGCAGTTCCACTCAGTTGCCGGTATGTAGCACGCACAGCAAAGCACAGCGCAACACAGCACAGCGTCCCCTCTCTGTTTTGACACAACGCGTGAACACGCAGGTCTGCCGACGATGCCGCCTCTCTTCGCCCTCGGCAAGCACCAATGCAGGTGGAACTACAAGGACGAGGTGAGTGGGTGGGTGAGAATCACATCACACACACACACACACAGAGAGAGAGAGAGAGAGAGAAAGCATCTGTGTTGTCTCTGTCTGTCTGTCTCTGTGTGTGTGTGTGTGTGTGTGCAGGCTGACGTGTTTGACGTCGACAGCAACTTCGACAAGCACGACATTCCGTACGACGTCATATGGCTGGACATCGAGCACACCGACGGCAAGAAGTACTTCACCTGGAACAACCACCTCTTCCCGAAGCCCGCAGAGATGATCGACAAAATCGCCGCAAAGGGCAGGAAAATGGTCCGCGTGTGGATGGGCGGCACAAGCCAAGGGGATGAGGCCTTTCGTGTCTGTGTCTGTGTGTGTGTGTGTGTGTGTGCCCAGGTGACGATTGTTGATCCGCATATCAAGAAGGACGACAACTATTATGTCTACCGGGTGAGTCAGTGAATCATGGTCTGCTGGCATCAATCCGTCGTCCGTCTGTCTGTCCGCCCGTGGATGCAGGAGTGCCGTCATCAAGACTTGTTTGTCAAGAAGGTACCAGACACACACACACACACACACACGAAGGATGAATCCCCACGGATCTTTTCGCTGTGTTTGTGCGTGTGTGTGTGTGTGATACATCAGCCCGATGGCACTCAGTACGAGGGCTGGTGCTGGCCTGGCAGCTCATTCTACCCCGACTTTACCAACCCGCAGGCATGCACAACACACACCACACACACAGAGAGAGAGAGAGAGGGAGAGAGAAAGAGACCATGCCATTCACTCCTTGCTCCCTCTGTCTGTCTGTCTGTCTGTCAACAGGTGCGTGACTTCTGGGCCTCTCTCTTCGACCTCAGCCGATACGAAGGCAGCACCAAGGTCAGCAGGGAGAGCGAGTGGCACACAGGTCGGCCGTGTGTATGCCATCCATCCATCCATCTGTGTGTGCTGCGACTGGGCAGGATCTGTTCATCTGGAACGACATGAACGAGCCCTCGGTGTTCAACGGCCCGGAGGTGTCGATGCAGCGGGACATCATTCACTATGTATGTCAGCTTGCTCACCGACCAGACAACAACCAGACAAGCTCACTGGGGGTGTGTGGGCGGCGGGTGGATGTGTGTGTTGATAGGGCCAGCGCGAGCACCGAGAGGTTCACAACTTGTACGGGATGTACTACCACCGGGCGACTTTCGAGGGCCTCACGCGGAGAGACCCCAACCAGCGGCCATTCGTTCTCACACGATCATTCTTCATCGGCACACACAGGTGTGTGCAGGTGTGTGCCGTGTGTTGTGTGTGTCTGTGCACATACCCACACGCACACATCATCGCTGATCTGTGTGTGGTTGATTGGCTGGCATTGGCACTCAGGTACGGCTATGTGTGGACGGGCGACAATGCGGCTGAGTGGAGTCACTTGGAGATCTCCATTCCCATGCTGCTGTCGCACGCACTCGGCGGCATCTCATACATCGGTCCGTCGATCGCACAAATCCCCCCCAACACATGCACACACATAAAGAACAAAAACACACATGCAACTATTATTCCCCTCTGTGTGTCTGTTGTGTGTACGTCCATCCATCCATCCATCCGTCCAACCGTCGGTCAGGTGCTGACGTGGGAGGCTTCTTCAAGAACCCCGAGCCCGAGCTGCTCTACCGGTGGCACCAGCTCGGCATCTGGTACCCTTTCTACAGGTGCGAGCCGCCACACGACCACACAACACACGAAGGCACTCACTCTATGTTATGTGTGTGTCTCACAAACTTACAGGGCGCATGCGCATCTCGAGACTGCTCGGCGGGAGCCGTGGCTGTTCGGGCAGGAGGTCACCGACATCATTCGGTACGCGCACCACACCACACGCACCTCCACCTCCCCATCTGTCCATCTGCTTGTCGATCGATCCATCGATCAGTGACACCGTAACAACGCGGTACCGGATGCTGCCGTACCTCTACACCGCCACGGCCCTCTTCGCCATGCGGGGCGAGCCCATCATCCGGCCACTCTGGTTCGACAACGCCTTCATCAGCGACCCTCAGACATACACCATCAGCGACCAGATGATGGTCGGCGGCAGCGTGATGGTCAAGGCCGTCACGCAGCCCATGGCCAAGAACAGCACGGCCGCCGTCTACCTGCCCGAGAACCCTGGCGGATGGTACGGGTGGGGCTCATGTGCTTCTCAGTCAGCCAATCCAATCGCCACGTCTGCTCTGCGTGTGTTCTGAACCTGTCAGGTATGATTTTTACACGGGTGCTCGGCTGTCTGGCGGGCAGACGCATGTGGTGTCGCTGAGCCAGCGGTATGTGCCGACATATGTGCGTGCGGGGTCGGTCCTGGTGAGCAAGGGGCGGCGGCGACGGAGCTCCACACAGCAGAGGCTGGACCCCTTCACAGTGAGAGAGAGAGAGACAGAGAGAGTGGGGGGGAGACCGTTCGCATGACTGTCCCCTCCCTGTTTGTGTATCAGGTGGACGTTTATCCGAGCGACAAGGGCGAGGCGACAGGTCTGATCTACGAGGACGACCACAACAGCTGGGCCTACAAGAAGGGCGAGTTCCTCTTCCAGCAGCTCGACTTCAGGCAAAACACCCTCACCGCCAAGTCGCTCCCCCTCCCGCTCGACGACAAGACCCCCACCGCCAAGGACTTCACCCCACACAGTCTCACCAAGAAGGACTTCACCCCACACAACCTCAACAGTAAGCACTCACTGCGACCCCTACCTCTCCCCGTCTCCCCACTCTCTCTCTCTCTCTCTCTCTCTCCGTCTGTCTGTGTCAGTCGAGTCCATTCGAGTGCACGGGGCCCCCGCGTCAGTGTCAGAGTGCAAGGCCAAGGGCGCCCCGGTGCACTGTCGGTCGCGTGAGGAGCCGCGGGGTGGCGGTGTGTATGTGGTGGCTGTCAAGAAGCCGCCAGTGAAGATCGGCGAGGAGGGGTGGACCGTCACTGTGGGCACGGCTGTGTGATCTGATGGATGGATGGATGTGTGAGGTATCTGGGTTGATCGATGGATGGACTCAAAGGGCTTTGGTCGTTGCTACTGTCTGTCTGTGTTATCTGGTTGGTGGATGGGTCAGGAGGTGAGGTGAGGCACAGGTTTTGTCTGGTTTTGTGCCACTGTGGAGTGAGCCAGTGTGTGTTGTCTGGTTCCGTCTGTCTGTTTGTCGTTTTCCGTGTCTGTGCGTCGGTGGAGAGTGAATGCGTGCGTGAGTGTTTGTTTGAGGGCTGATTTCATGTGCGTGTCGATTAATTAATTGCCCTCATGTGTGTCACACGTGTACGCCATCAGGCAGACGACGGGCAGGCAGGCAGGCAGGCAGGCAGACACCGTGTGCGCACACATGCGGCGTCCGTTTGTGCAGAGAACAGACACGCTTTATCATGGTTGTTACGTGCCGTGTCTATGCGCAAACAACACTGACACTCTGAAAGAATAGTACGCTCAGCAGAAGCAGCTGGAGTGCGCCACCGTCCTCCTCCATCAGCACATGATCAGGCCGCCTCCCGTCACTGACATTGGGACATGGCTGAGGGCCGGCGGCAGCAGCCACGTCCTCACTCTCCTCCTTGATCAATCCGTCGTCTACTGCTGCTGCTGCTGCTGCTGCTATACTTGCCCGTCGAAGGCGTATGGCGCCACCGCCCGCAACGCCACACGAGCCAGCTGGGTGGTCACCGGGAAGCGGTGCTTGAAGGGACCACTCCCACACACAGCCGCCTCAGTGGTCCTGACACGCACACCCACTGCACACAAAGGAAAGAAGGCAGTGATGACTAGCAGAGCTTCCTTTCTGTCGGGAAGGCCTGACCGTTGTTGTTTCCTGATCTCCTAATGTCAATCCATGCGGCGAAGGAGTGGTTGCTGCCGGTGAGCACCAGAAACCGCACATCAACGCCCCAGCCGAGTGTGGTGGTGCAGCCCGCCACTGGTGTGTGGGGCGACTCGGTCAGCAGGCCATCCAGACGGCCGCCACCGACATACCTGAACCAACCACATGCATACGCACAATCAACGGCGCACCTGGTGCCATCGGTGAGTTGTCACCTGTTGAGTATAATTGATTGGTCATTGATCTGGTGAGTCTTGTTGAAGTGATCAAGGACCATAAACTTGGCAAAGGACGATACTGACGCCTCGGTGTACCCCGGGCCACCGGTCGACATCCATCTGGCGTTGGCGGGCGAGTAGTAGATGCGCTCACGCACTGGTGGGTCGTGTGGCTGTCGGTACTGCTGGTACAGGTGGCCGGCAGGGAGGGGCGGGTCGACCTCCACTCGGAAGCCGGGCTCGTCAGTGATGGCCCGCCAGTCGTTGCCGTGCTGGAACAGCTGCAGGCAGCTGTCGTCACTGAAGCGGACGTGGCGGCCGACCATCTTAAGCTGCGCCAACACACGGGGAGCCGACACATACGCCTACACACAGACCACACACACACACACAGACAGAATGAGGTCCTCTCCCTCCCCTCCCCGCCCCTGTGTCTGCTGGCTCACCGTTTTGTTTGCGTGTGTGTTGATGTCATCGGCTGTTAGGATGACAGGCAGCTCACAGTTGCCGCACTGCGCCGCCAGCTCAATCACCTCGCCCATCTCCACCCATTCTCCCTCCTCCATCACACACACAGCCGCCAGCAGATCATGGACGCCGAACTGGTCGTCATCGAACCGCAGCAGCTGCACTTGCTGCCCATTCACCGCCCGCCGCAGCCCCTCCTGTGAGCCCAGCGAGTGGCGGAGCCGATCTCTCAGCTGTGCCGCTCCGAGGAGACCTCTGAGCCACGTGCAGGTGGCCCTCAGCCGCAGGATGTCCTTGATGCTGCTGAGGAGGTAGTAGGTGCGGCGGCCGACGAAGATATACGAGAAGGGGTGCTGCTCCCGATCCTGATGCGGTTGCTGCATCTGGTTTGCTATGATGTGCTCGACGACAGCCTGCACAGAGCGACAGAGCCGACAGAGGATCGTGTGCATCAAGCATGCTGCTCATTGATCTGTGTGCGGCTCACCTGGTTCGATGCTCAGATGGACAGATCAGCATGCAGACAACTGAATAAACCACCAGCACCACCACCACCACCGGCAGCGGCAGATGAGGAGGCCGCCATCACTCCTCAACGACACGCCTGCAGCGATGGGCCGACAGACACATGCACAGAGAGAGAGATGCCAAAAAGGATAGCCTCCCTCACCTCCGATATCTGGCAGCTCAATGGCCCGCCATCTCACCGCATCAGCTCTCGCCGCATCACCGAGGGAGGCATCAGATATCTTGGCGCCTTCTCTCGTAGGGTTATAGGGTAAAAAACCCTTGCCCCTCGTCAAACCCTCCGGCTCTATTGGCTTGGTGCGCTGCCCTCCTGACGGCTGCGCCGCTCTCTCTGGTGTGGTTCCGGCAGCATCGTCCTCATTGAGACCAGAGACGGCGGCATCTTCCCCTTTGTTGACGCGTGTCCGCGCGCGCACACCCGAGGCTTGGGAACACCTGTCGGCTCGGAGCAGCCTTGTTCCAGTGAGCGGACACATGGGCACACACACAGGCAGCTGCGCAGGCAGGCAGGCACATAGATCAGTGCAGGAAAGCATCCGTGTGTGCGCGGGAGTGTGTGGCTACACACACAGCAGCAGATGACGCAACTGATGAAAGCGAGGGTCCGGGCGCTGTGTGTGTCTCTCAGGTGAGGCCTCTTGATTGACGCCATGGCGAGCAGCTCTGTCGGCCCGTCTCCATTGATCAAGGAGGAGAGTGAGGACGTGGCTGCTGCCGCCGGCCCTCAGCCATGTCCCAATGTCAGCGACGGGGGGCGGCCTGATCATGTGCTGATGGAGGAGGACGGTGGCAGGAAGGTCGGGGAGTCGGCAGGTGGCCAAGGTGGGTGAGGCACGGACAGTCAATAGTGCAGCCGATGGATGGTGCGTGGGGTTGTGTGGGTGTTTGTGGCTGTGTGTCAGGTTCTGCCGCTGATGACCAGATGGTTGGCTCAGGGAATGGTGCAGGCGAGGTCAGTGCCAAGGAAGACAGCAGAGAGAGACCTTCGCCCGTCAGCGCCTCAAATGCAAGTGCCTGCGTGTCTGTGTAGGGTGCGGACGATGGTGACCGTCACGCACCGGAACGCCGTAAGAAACACACACAGCACACGGTCACCGCTGCAGCAGCGACCCACACACCGACACATGTGGTTCGCATCAGGACACTACGGCGATGAGGGTTCGTCCGGTGAGGATGACGACAGCGGCGAGAACGACCTTCTCCACGCACGGGTAGGTGGATGGGTGGGTGTGGCCATGAGTGACCACAAGCGAGCACTCGTGGCTACTTCTCCGTCTCCCAGGCCGTGGCCCGCTCGCCGACCCCTTCCCCTGACGGCCGTAAGAAGCGACGACGGACCGCGGGAAACGGTGGGTTCTGCCTGAGGGTCCATCTTCTGCATGTGTGAGGATGTGTCATTTTTCATCTATTCATCAGACGTGAGTCAGTCCATTATCAGCCTCCGTGCCTTCCTGCAGAAGCTCAAGCATCTCGATGGCCAGGTGTGCGAGCTGCACAGCATATGGGCACTGCAGGTCCGCTCTGTCCGTTGCGTGTCCTTCAGGTGCCGTACCTCTACGTGTACGCCAACAAGGACGGAGCCACTGTCAGCCACAAGAAGCTCCGCAAGGCCCGCTCCTTCTCCTTGTCCACCTACCACACCGCCCGCTCGGCCGTCGAGGCCGCCATTGACTACCGGCACAAGGCCATCCCCACCGAGATGCCCATCAAGGGCTGGGAAGGTCTCCTCGCCGCTCACGCCTTCCCAGATGACGACCAGGTAACGAGCAAGGCCGACAGAGAGGGAGGGAGGGAGGGAGGGGGGTCGATATTGTTCCATGCCTTCGCGCGCCCGTCGTCTGGTTTTCGTGTTAGGAGAAGCCGTCCGCGTCTGCCGCGGCCCGCGACGCCGGCAATAAGGAGCAGAAGCAGAAGCGACGGGGCGGCAAAAGGCGCCGTACAGGTAGGTATACATGTGTGAATGGACAGACAGTCATGGCGTCCTCATCGTGTCACCTCACCTGTGTGTCGAAGGTTCGCGTGTCGATTCGGACGGCGACCAGGCGCCCCCCGAGGCGCTGCTCTTCCCCACGGAGAGCAATGCTGCTGCTGGTAGTGATGGTGGTGGTGGTGCTGCTGGTGTCGGCATCAAGCAGGAGGGAGATGGTGACCACGGTGCTGCTGCTGCCACTGGTGAGGCCTCTGGTGAGGCTGATGCCAGTGCTGGTGCTGGCGAGGTGCACGTCAAGATGGAAGTCGAGGACGACGGTCAGTCGACACACACGTGAATGAATGAATCAATTGGCCGGCCTCGGTGACGCCTGGCTCTGTCTGTGTGTGTGTGTGCGTGTGTGTCTGTGTCTGTGCAGAGACCTTTGTGACGGTCGAGCTGTCGAAGCTCACGGCTGACGACGTCGTGAAGATATTCCAGCGAGATGAGAAGCTGCGGGGACTCGTCGACACCGTCAAGAAGGTACGCAGAGACGCAACTAAAAATGGCAAACACGCACTCGTTCATGTGTGGTGTGCTGTGCGGTGTTGTTGTGGTGATGGTGGTGTGTGCGTGTGTGTATCTGCCCAGGAGGAGCTGACCGGGGAGACCTTTGCCGAGGTGCTGGCTATCGCCGACCTTGACTCGCGCAAAGCGAGCGACAAGGTGTTGGGCAGCCACATCAAGCTCGGCAAGGTCACACTCGTCGTCAACTGGCTCAGAGGCATCGACCCAGCAGCGGTGGGTGAAAGACTGAGTCGCACAGGACGCGTGTGTGGGTGTATGTGTGTGTGTGTTTGCTGCAGGTGCAGGTTCCTGTCTCGGCGTAGACACACTACCCCCCCTGCTGAGGTAGATGACGATATGCACACCAAGAAGGCCATCCATGACGTCATTGTTGTGTCTTGTGTCTTGTGTGTCGCAGGTCGCTGCTTGGTGGTGTGCGTGTCGTCCTTTGACTGTGCCGCAGTACTAGCGCTGGCTGCGTATTACGGCTTTCGTTGAGTGCATGGTCGTCAGGAGCGATCGAGCGAAGAAGACTTACTTCATAATTCATATGACATTCATATGACATACGTGGACGTACAGTAGGTCGGAGTGTCTCTCGTCTGTCTCTGTGTGTGTGTGTGTGTGTGCGACTCCTTGCTCGGTTGTGCTGCCCGTGCGGTCCATGGCGTGGCGTGGTGCGGCGGTGGGGGCCTGCCTGGGGTGTGTGGTTCGGGGGTGTGCGTGTCTTGTGAGGTGTGTTCTTGGTGCTGCTGTGTGTTGTGTTGTGTTGTGCGTGCATGCTCTTCGCTCCCTGTCGCACACGTACGAGTCTTTGGTGGTGGTGGTGGTGGTGGTCGGGTCGTGTGTGCCTCCCGTGGGTGCGTGTGTGTGTGTGTTGCATGCCTCCGTGTTGCGTGCCTATGTGTGTTGTGGATAGCTACGTACATTTGTCTGTCTGTCTGTCTGTCTGTGTGTCTGTGTGTCTGTGTGTCTGTATGTCTGTCTGTGATTGTGGTCTCTGCCGACGTACACGGGAATAGGAACAAGTGATCGATGTGACGGCACACCTACAGAAGTGGACCACGTGTGGGTGGACGCACAGACACCAGCAAGGAAGGAAGGAGGTATTGACGGATGTTTCGGGCTGAGTCAACAAGACATCCGCCGCTGTATTGTCGCGGTTCTGTACGTAGACACTGATGGTGCCGCACTGACTGCATTCCCCTGCCAGCAAGCCGACACACGACATCAAGCTGGCGGGCAAGTGTGTTGCATGTTCGCGCATGCTGCATTCAAGACACTAACTCTGCCTGCTTCTTGTTGCATGACGGCTGGCCGGCTGTGCGCGAATGAATGGGCGGACAAGCAATCGAGAGAGGATTCGCCAAGACACACGAGGAGGATACACAGGGACAGGGCACATGACTGGCTGCTGTGTTTCTCGTAGGCACTGCCGGCAATGTTGGCAGGCTGCCATTCATTCATTCTGGCGTGTGACTGACTTGTTGCTCTCGTGTAATCTTGCTCACTTTGCGCATGTGCTGCTGGTGCATGGTGCAGCTGCGTGCCAACATATGCATGTGCCTGCCAGGAAGAGAACAGTGAGATAGGATTGTCCACGACAAACAAGGGGGTATTCGGAAGTGGTTTTGGTGTGGGCGTGGAGCCAGCTCCGAATCATTGCCACGGCGCATCGCATCACTGGCTGCATTCCTCGTGCACACATACATACATACACATATGGTCTAGAGGCTCAATTCATAGCATTATATATGACGTCTGACAATGCACGGCATGCGTGCTGCCGACAGTGTTGACTGGCTGGCTGGCTGGCTGGCTTTCCATCAACACGTGTGACTTGGTGCTCACTTGCCCTTGTATGTGTGTGTGTTGCCGGGGCATACCTATCGATGGCTTTTTGTATCTCTCTTGTGTCACTGCGCGCGGAGCTCACTCGAGGCACACACACGAATGCGTCTGAAGGGCTATATATGGGTGCCTCGCTGTTGCTGAGCAAGACTGTGTGTCGGAAATGCAGCGGAGGCAAGAGGTTTTCGTAGGGGGATGCGCGGCCAATCAATACATAATTGAGTATTGCATGCGTACTGCTGGAGTCTCTCTGTTTGTGCGAGTAGGCGCACCCGCACTCCTGTTTGCAGGAGTGTTCGGGTCATGTGCCTGCCGCCAGGCACACCCAACAGCCGATCACACGCACACGAGAGACAACGAGACAGACAGCCATATCGACGAGAAAGGAAATTTACAGTGCCGTTACCGTTGCGAGCTCAAGCAAGCGAACGCAGGAAGAAACGAAACCCATCCAGAAGCACAACAATGGTGATTCCGATCTGGCTGGTGAGGCCGACACACACTCAGCTAACGACGCAGAGAGATGAGATGAAGATCTTGTTCCTCTCTTCGCGTTGTGCTGTACGTTGCTTGCATTGCGTGTGTTGCTGTGTGTGTGTGTGTGCAGCCGACGCACACAGCGAGCGAGAGGACTCAGCTCAAGTCGCTCAACCCCTCCTTCACACCCGACCGCGACGCAGAGCCCGGCGAGATGTTCACGCTCCTCAACGAAGGCAAAGAACCTGGCATCGGTAATAAGCCACACACGCCGACAACATAACACACACGCCTCTGAGGTGTGTGTGTGTGTGTGTGCTGTTGTTGATCTCCTTCCTTGCTCAGTGACGGACGTCAAGGGCGGGTATTACTACGTGCAGCCTCCCAAGCTGACGCCTATCGATGAGGTCGACAGGCGGTGGCACGACGGCAACGACAACGAGCGGAAGCTGCCGGGCGAACACCCCTCGCAGTGGTGCGTGTGGACGCGAAGCCACTCACACCCACTCGGCGGCGTGTGTGAATGGTGGCGGTGGTGGTGTGTGTTGCAGGTACAAGTCGTGTGTGTTTCGCGATGACGAGTCTGACGAGCGGCCCGTGGCGCCCCCCGAGGGCGAGCGGAAGGTGCCCACGGCCAAGAACTTCAAGCCAACAGACGAGAAGCCTGACGTCACATTCGCTTACTGATGAGAGAGGGTCAGGGGTCAGTCCGTAGGGGCCTGTGTCGATACCTTTATCATTATTCTGATGCTCGGTTCTTTTGCCCCGTCCATCCGACGAAGGCCAGCAAGGTTAAGGGGGTGCAGAGCGGGTGAGGGAGTGGCTGACTTTGTGAGGGTGAGGTGCTGTGAGTGGGTATGCGGTGCCTGCCTGTGCGTGTCATTCATGTGTGTAATTAATCGACGAGATTATTCGATAAGACCGTATCGAATAATCAATACGTGTCTGTCGTCAAGGAGCTGTCTGTCATCTGTCCTTGTCCGCCGCTGCCGTCCGCGACCCATACACATACCTGGACACACTCACAGACACAGCCATGTGGATGTCCCATCGACACAACAACGACTGCCGTGCCGCACTGCCCTCACCAGCAGTATCCTGCGGCAATGTTGACCAAGACGAACTGCAGCATGAGAAACCTCCACCCCGCCACACCGCTGCTCCAGGGGTTGACGGCGCCCCCCTCTGCCCCACCAGCAGATGGCGAGGTGAAGAACACACTGGGCGGGGGGCATGACAGAGGCTTTATGAGCGTGGTGGCTTGGGACGTCTGTCTGTCTGTCTGTCTGTCTGTGTGTGCGTGTGTGTACCTTTGTATGGTGGGCATGCCGACAAGGTGCAGCAGACCGATGGCAAGGACGGGGTACGTGTACCTGACGGATGGACAGGCGGACGGAGGGAGGGAGGGATAGGCAATGAGGGCCATTTGGGTGGGAGACTGTGCTCACTTTTCGTAGAGCCGTTTCCTGCCGTAGATGAAGACAAGCACGGTGAAGACCAAATGTGCGATCTGCAGACAGACAGACAGGCGAAACACCAAGCAGCATAGAAGCGTGTCATCCAGCCAGCCAGCCTCGCGTGTATACCATGTTGATATTGGAGCTTATCGCCCTCTGAATGAAGGTCCATTCGAACTCGGCACCGGTCGCACCTTCACACACACACACACACACACACAGACAGACGAATCCATGCATTCATGTCAGCAGCAGCGCATGGCGAGGGTCGTCTCCTGTCTGCTGCACGGATTGGGTGCTGGGGTCAGGAAAACATTCCCTTTGTCTCCATTGTGGAGTCAGTTGGTTGATCCTAATATGTGTTTTCATCACGCCGCCCTTATTGCCATATTCACTCTCTGTCTGAAGCTCTGCCTGTCTTCTCTGCTAATCCCTCCCTCCGTCCCTCCCTCCCTCTGTCCCTCTCTCTGTCCCTCTCTCACCGACAAGGAATGCGATCATGTGCTGAAAGATGGCGTCAGCCGCCGCCCAGCCTGACACACACACAACGACACACAGATACACACACAGGCAGAAAACTGCTGTCGAATGCTGGTGAGATACGCACGGGCCGGATCTCTGTTACGTATCTCATCTCACCCAGGCCAACGCCCAGAAGCCGCGTGTTGGGCTCGAAGCCAACGCTCCGCCTGCGTAAGACACACAGACGCCATGCTCCAGCCGGCTGCCCGTGCCTGTGTGTGTGTGTATGGCTCCAGCTGCTCACCTGCTCTGCAGCATGAGGTGCATGCCCACGGCGTCAGCCAGGTTGACACAGTTGCGAAAGAGCTCCTGATGCATGGGCATACGCAGACAGACAGACACGGACACAGGCATGACCCAAGAGCCGTCAGATGAATCGCTCCCTCTGCCTGCACGCCTGCGATATCGACGTGGTCTCGCCCGATGGGATGATCGTCACGAGCAGCAACAGCTGCACACCACACACACACAGATGGATCAGCTTGCAAACAGCTGTCGTGCTTCACCTTAATGATCTGTGTGACGGTGTAGTACATCCCAGCAAACAAGCACAGCCCCAGCGCGCCGCTGTACTCCCACCTGCAGCACAGCATGATTGATTGAGGAGATGGCGGCTGTGCAGATCTCTCTTCTGTTTTTCTCATTCTTACAGTCCGGTGCCGTAGTAGAGCACGCCGAAGGGCCCGAAGGTCGTGAGGCAGCAGTTCATCGTGTGAAAATATGTCATCTTTGCTTCTTCTCTCAACACAGCTTTTCCACACCAGATCTTCTGTGCCGTGAGGCCTTCGTTGGGTGAGAAGAAGCAGAAGCGTCGGACAGTTGTCCTCAATTGGTGCGAGCTTGACAGCATCTCCGTGAGATCTCCCGCCACTGAGCGCATGACACGAAGTCTGAAGGCCGGGGAGTGCAGATCTGCCTTTTGGTGATTCCGTGATGGAGGGCGCAACGGTTTCAGTGAAGGTGCTGCTCTGCGGCGATGTCAAAGGGCAGCTGGGACTTCTCGCCAAGCAGGTGGGTACGTGGGTGGGTGGGTGCAGACAAACCTCAGGACACGAGGCATGCGCCATGATGGAATCGGATGCTCTCATGTCATGGATCTTCTGTCTGTCTGTCTGCAGGTGTCAGCCGTCAACGCCCGCCAAGGCCCATTCGACCTGCTCATTTGCTGCGGGTCCTTCCTCGGCTCGCCCGACGGCCCGTCCACCGACCTCCCTGACTTCGTGACGGGAACCAAGACCATGCCCATCTCGACCTACTTCATCGAGGGCGGTGCTGGGGGGGAGGGAGCGGCGCTCATCGCCTCTGCCAAAGGCGGCCAGCGGCTGGCCGAGGATCTGGAATTCATCGGCGGCTGTGGGATCAAGGTCGTCAAGGGGCTGAGGATCGCCTTCCTCTCTGGGCGCTATGACAAGGCCGTGTCGGAGGGGACACATGGTGGGTGATGGACGGAAGGGCGGGCGGGCGGGAGATGCAACGGGAACCCACGAACAAGACCATCAGCTGCGTGTTGTGTTGTGTTGTGTTGTGTTGTGTTGTGCCGTGTTGTGTTTGTTGTGCTGCAGATGGCGCAGCGAGCGGCGAGGACCAGGGCGGCGACTCGGAGCCGTTCGTCGGCTCCAACTACACACCCATGGCCATGAAGACCCTCCTCTCCCAGCGTGAGCATAACGGTGCGTCGCCGTCGGTCCCGATCGATTTGCTGGTGACGTCAGAGTGGCCGCAGGCCATCGACGGACGGCTCCCTGCGGAGGATAAGAGCGCCCTGGACGAGCTGTTGCCGTCTGACAAGAGAGCGCAGTGCAGGTGGGAAGGAATGGTTCAGCCAGCGGAAAGGCGCGCTGATCGGTTTCCTATCCCCTTGTGTGTGTGTGTGTGTGTGTGCGTGCGTGTGTGTGTGTGTCAATGTCAGCTCGCCGACGGTCTCTCGTGTGGCCTTTCACCTGTCGCCTCGTTACCACATCGCTGCCACGAGCGGCGTCTTCTACCAGCGCCCGCCATACGACACACTGAGAGGTAAAAGGAAAGGCCGTGCACGCGAGGCTGCTCTCGTCTGCGTGAATGCGTGTGTTGTCTGTGTGTGTCTGTCTGTGTGTCTGTCTGTGTGTTTGTCTGTCGGTGTGCAGGGTACCCATGCCGCTTCATCTCTCTGGGCGGTGTCGGCTCTCCGCCCGGCAAGGCGACCAAGTGGCTGCACGCCATCAAGATCACCCCCGGCTCCTCCCTCCTCCCCGCAGACCTCAACCAGCTGCCCTCCCCCTGCACACCAAACCCCTTCTTGGACACTTTCCGGGACCTGCAGCCGCCCCCGCCACCCACCGAACGCCCAGAGCGGCCCGCCAAGCGCATGAGGGTCGAGGGGCCGGCACTCGCACCAAGGGAGACGCCCATCGTGTTCCTGACCAACCTGCCCTTTGACATCGAACGAGACCAGCTCGTCAAGGTCATGAAGGGCTTCGGCGAGATCGAGTGGGTCCATCTCGATCTGACGGGCGGCGAGGGGGCCGACAGTGGTGGTGGCGGCGGCAAGAGGCGGGGCACTGGGCGTGGATGGATCAAGTACGCCACGGCAGCGATGGCCGAGGAGGCCACCAAGGCAAGCGAGCAGATCGAGGCGGGCAACAGGATGATCCGCATCATGCTCCACAGAGGGGGCGATCCCAGGAGAGGGCCGCAGCAGCACGCCAAGGGCGAGAGGGGGGAGGGCGGCCATGGGAGGCCCAGGGGGCCGCAGCCGCTCGTCATCGATATGCAGCCACATGCAGGTGTGTTCGAGTGAGAGAGACCACAGACGGACAAACCAGTGAGTGTGCCATGGTTGTGTGTGGCAGAGTGCTGGTTTTGTCTTGCAAATCCGAAGGTGGAGCAGCACCTCATTGTGCATGTGGGCGACAAGGTGCGTGTGTGTGGGTGGAGCGGGTGGTGGTGGTGGTGGACGGGTTCACGAACCGCTCCAGGCATAATCCACACCTCTGTCTGTCTGGGTGTGCGTGTGCCGTGTGTCGTGTGTAGGTGTATGTGGCGATGGCGAAGGGCGGCCTGGCTGCCGACCACGTTCTGGTGATTCCCATCAACCACTACCCATACCTCATGGCTGGTGAGTGAGACACGGCACAAACCACCAACCATAGCCACCAACACCAACACCCATTGTGTGATGGCTGCCTGCCTGCCACACAGGCCCGCCCGACATGCTCACCGAAGTGATGACCTTCCTCTCCGTACTGAGGCAGCTCTACCACAGCCAGGTAGGTGGCTGCCTGGTCCAGGCCGGGCCACACACAGAGAACTCGCCTTTTCTCTCTCTCAGGGCCGTTCGTGTGTGGTGTTCGAGCGTTATGTGCCGATGCACAACACCACGGCCGCCCACACCCAACTGCAGGTGGTGCCGATCCCCAAACAGCTCGAGGCCTCCATCGGCCAGATCTTTGAGGCCAGGGCCAAGGAGGCAAACCTCACTTACGAGCGGCTGGAGAGGCGAGAGCCAATGCCCGAGGGCGGCAGCGGCAGCCAGGGTGTGGGCGAGATGAGGCAGCTGGCCGAGCGGGTCAACAACGCCAAGATGCCCTACCTCTACCTGGAGCTGCCCGGCGACAATACTGCCAGAGGTCCGCCAGTCAAGCCACCACAGGTGCATCCATCCAAGTGCGTGTGTGTGTGTGTGTGTGCCTGTGCAGGCCGTCAGGTGGACAGTTACTTGATCACGGGCGGCCCCAGCAAGGTGCGCATCCCGCTCAACCTGGGTCGCGAGGCGCTCTGTGAGGCGTTGGGATCGCCCGAGAAGGCCGATTGGAAGCGGTGTGCTCTGCCGCAGCAGGAGGAAGAGCGGCTCTGCATGCGATTCAGGAAAGACTTCAAAACCGTCTACAGGCCTGGCAAGTGAGTGTCAATGGCCGGATGTAGGCATGTGCCTGCTGCGGCCTGTACGGTGACTCGACTGTCTTGCGTGCCTTTCATCGCCTGTCAATCGCTCGTTGGTATCATCATACATAGTAGCTTTTGACACACGTGGTCTTGTTCACACAGGGTCTTTACACACACACACACACACAAGACAAAACCGAACAAAACAACCCCACCCAGGCAGGCAGGCTCCGCCCTCCGCGGCCCCTATCTGTTATTTGTCTACCTGTCACCCCATCCACCCAGGCAGCCCCCTCTCTCTCCATCTCTGCCTCAGACATGCACCGTGACATGCTCGTCGTCCACCAGCGACCACCACACCTCATCAGCCGCCTGCTGCCCCAGCAGCATCTGCAAAGCGGCGCGGGTGGCGGTGAAGGGCGGCTGCTCTGTCGTATAGATGTCCTGTGGTGCACACACACGCAACCTTCACGCGCGCTCATATGAGCACCGACAAGTCCCTGCCAGCCCACTGACCAACGATGGGTAATCTCCGACTGTGACGCACGCAAAGTGCCCATGCTGTGTGCTTGTGGTCACCACGATGAGGCGGTATCGGCTGTTGCGGATCTCGATGGACGTGCCCCGCTCGCTCACAGACCTGCGGTCAGTTCCTCGACGCAGCACCTTGTCGTACACGCGCATGGGCAGGGCTGATGCCGGGTACTCGAGCACGGCCCTGACCCACCGAGCGATGGCCGAACTGCGATCGCGGGCGAACCACAGGAAGCTCACGGCCGTCCCGGGGGTGGCCCTCGGTCTAATGGCATCTCGCCCCGAGGGCCGGCGGGAGAGGCCCGCCAGGGTGAACGCTACCATGCCTGCACGAATGAACCCCACCACATCAGACACATGGACACATGGCATGGAGGCCACATTCATATATACACACACAAGTCTGTCGCCTTGCTTGCTGCGCACCACTGTAGGTGTGGAAGACGGTGTCTGTCTGGTCGATCTCCGTGGTGGGGTCCTTTGGGTCGAATGCATCAGGGCAGAGCGGGCTGGGGCTGTCGCGTACAGCGATGCGCAGGTGGTGGCGGATGTTGGATGGGCTGCTGATGCGCCCATACTCCATCACAGGCTGCGCACCACCCTGGCTGAGACTCAGCTGCAGGCAGTGGCTCATCACAGACCACTGACGCTTCGCCTCCGGCTGCCGCAGGGCATCAGCGACGGAATCGAAGACGCCAAAGTTCTTTTTCTCTAGCACCAGGGGCCGCCGACCTCTGATGTAGTACAGCATCAGCAGGGGCAGCCGCCATCGAGACAAACCGCAGTTATCCAAGATGCAGAGTCGAGAGATGAGCTGATGAAACAGCCAGCGGGTGATGCCGCTTGTGTAGAAGTGGCTCAAGTCGCTGTTTAGCGGCAGCTGCGGGATGGGCACCTGGAGTAGACCCTCCAATTCGGCATCGTTAGCGATGCTGGCCAGCAGGCTGCTGAAGAGGGCGATTAACGACGCCAAAGTGAGGGCGGCGGCGCGGCATTTGTCGACAAGGCGCAGCGAGAGGGCGGAGGGTGAGTCCAGGTAGCTGGTGATTGTCTGTGTGACGTCGCCCGGAACGCGGCAGAACGGAATGCCTTCTTTCATGCTGCTACAGAGGCCAACTGCACACTATACGCCAAGCTGCCTGATGCCGGGCCCATCCGACAGCTCGCAGTTTTTTGGCGGATCTCCCCGCTCCTTGCTGTTTGGGGTAGTTAACAGGTAGCCGGAGGCAGAAGGATCTTTGGAAAAGAATGAAGAAACGAAAGGGATCTGAGGTGTCCTTCGATGAATCTTCCAGAAGGTGTGATGATCGATGTGCATTCTTCGTGTGTCGTGTACCAGTATCGGTGCTGTGTTGTGTTGTGCAGGAGCTATTTGACTGGTTTTGGGAAGCGCAAACAGGCGAGGAGGGACAAGGCCAAGGCAGAAAAGAAGGAGAAGGAGAGGGAGGACGTCAGGGCCATGAAACGTGAGCAGTAATTACACAGCACGGCATCGTTTGCGGCGCTTTCATCTGGTCAATGGTGCTCTGGGTGTTGTGGTATCATTTGTGCAGAGGAGAGGCGTCGTGAGGTGAGGCAGCAGCTTGCCCAGGTCAAGCTGGGCCAGACGAGTGCTGAACTCGCGCTGCAGAAGCTGGTCAGACTACACGGCAAGAAACCCAATGACGGTGAGGGGGAGGAGGGGAGCAACATGCGCAGGGAGCCAGTCCACGTGAGGAGCCGATGTCCCTTCTTGCTGTCTGCCCATCAGGTGACGATGCTGATGATGAACACATGTTGGGCGATGAGCCTGCCATCGATGATGAAGAGCACAGTGACCCATCGCCAAACGATGCTGAAGACGACGAGCCTCCAGACGAGCCTGCACAAGCATCCAAGGTGGGAGGCTACATGCGACGACACTGCTCCAGTGCACACGTGTGTCGACTCATTCACTGTCCTTCAGGCTTATTGTTTTGATGGCGACGATGACGCCAACGACGTGTTGAGGGGATCATGCACTGTCACGACGTCATTCTCTCTACCGTCAGCGTCGCCACCCGTTCCACCACACCCCAAACAACAGAGGAGCGACACACGCCCGAAAGAGGAGAGGCGGAGAGATGGCCAGAGCAGCAAGCATACGGCAGGAAGTGGCAGACGAGAGGTAGTCTACAAGACCAGGCGCACCAAGGGCAGCGGGGTCGGGGAAAAGAGTGGGGAGGGGGTGGTCCGCCCATCGATCCGAGCTGAGAGGAAGGTGCCGCTGTTCTGATTGATTATGCTCACGTGTGCATGAGGGGAGGGGCGGCTTGACTGCCTGCATGTGTAGATAGGGGCGGTGTGTCTTGGGGATGAACAGACAACACATAGAGACGTGTGTGTTGCTGACATCGACATTGCTATGGGTCTCAGCAAGGGGCCGTGTGTGGACAGGTCAATGTGAGCCGCTCGAACGAGAAATTGTCCACATGCACACACGCAGACACGCAGACGCGCAAACACCAACGTGAATGGGGAGTCACAAGCCAAGGCCTGTCAGTCAACACGAGTTTCGTCAAACGTGCAACGAACAGCACGATATAAAATGTAGACAACGATGGCTGTGCCTCCTCGTTGGAAGGCACACAAACAGCGACACGCACACTCAGTCCCCTTCCCCCGTCCATGCATATGCCGCACAGCATGACGTATGTGCTCACGTGTGAGCCCATACGGGCAGTCTGCACAGGGCTGGCAGCAAGCCCTCGTCTTGGTCCGCCACACTCAAGAGAGGCCTCCACCGACGGCTGCCGATAGGCTGCGATGTCTCAGCTAGTCATGGAGGCGTCGACCACCTTCTCCACTTCAGCCCCTACATCACTCGACGAACCAGCAAATCGCCATCCTGCTCTACCCGAGCTGTCGCTGCTCACTCCTTCGTTGTCTGCTGCTGCCCTGGTCATCGGCTCCGGTGGCTGTTGCCCGCCCGGCTGATGCGGCTCTGGACGCTGCTGCGGCTGATGCGGCTTGACGATGAGCGGCTGCGAGGGGGGCCCTGCTGAATGCGACGAGTGGTGTCGGAGAGTCGGAGGTGGCCGCGTGTGTGAGTGTTGCAATTGTGCCGCATGGCGTGGCGGATGCAGCGGCGGACGGCTCTGGCGTCCGCTCGGCAACCAATCTACAAGGACATGCGTCGTCAGTGCTGTCTGTCTCTTTTGTTCGGCTTTGTGTCTCACCTGTCCGACGAAGATGAGCCGACGGGAATCACGGGAGTAGCAGCAGCGGGGGACGACTGCTGCTCTCAAGCAGCACGATTCTTCTGAGAGAGCTGCTTGAAACGTTCCCATTCAGCACGATCGTCGTCATTGTTATACCACTCGCCGTCATCCTCACCTCGTGGGCCTCGTTGTCATCGGGCAGCAGGTGCTTCTGCTCCCAGCGGCCCACGGAGCGCCAGGCGAGGCCGACGCCGGCGTCATTATGACGCTCAGGGCGGCCCTCACACCAGCAAACAAGTCGTCCCTGCGGACATGAAGGACCACACATACGTACACATGGGAGACTTCTCTGTGAGTGCATTTGGCTTTCCCCTTTCGTACCTGGGCGACTGCTCGATGCCCCTGAGGCTGTTGGGGCTTGCGTGTCGGCCGTGGAAGCGGGGCTGCATCTGCCCAATAGTAGAGGACGTAGTCAACAAAGATTCCGCCTGTCACCTTTTCGTAAACCTCATGGCGTACATAGACCGGATATCCCTTGCATAGCTGCCCATGGTCGTGCGTCATTGCCCCCCCTTGTGCCCGTCAGGTCTACGGGCATCACCTGGAGCGGGGCCTTCTCAGGGAACATTATGTTGTTCAGATCCAGGTGCAGAAGCCCCGCCAGGTGAAATTCGTGCAAGCACGACACTTACGACCGCGAATACACAAGAGAGACACACATGGTCGGTTGAGAGTTTTTCCTCGCTCTGCATGTGAACAGAGAGACGGATTCATGCACACAAACATTGCCCTCCGCACACCTGTGCCGTGTGTTGTTCTGACGACCCCTCTGCTCTGCAGCTGGCGGCTCTTCTCCCCCGTCCTATCTCGATGACGTTGCGGTCCGTCAGGTGCTGCAGAGCGTGGGACAGCCCCATCGCCTCGTCCTCCCACTCCTCGTCGATGGGGTTCTGGTTCTCAAATCTATGGAAGATAGACACATCACGTCATCGCTGCATGCATGTGGTGTGTGTCTCCCTCGCTTCGCTGCTTACGTCTTGAGGATGATCCCGAGGTGATGGGCAGTCAGGTCGTATCCCTCGGGCACCGCACCCGTGTCGTCCTTGATGCCGTATGCAGTGGGCTGGGTCGGTGATGAGGTAGGACTTGCCGCGGATCTCGTCTGAGAATTGGCAGGACGGCAGGGGCCACTCGTCAAACCACTTGGATGACGGCCTTGAGGTCCGGGTGGGTGGTGGTGCTGGCTTCCACCATCTCTCTGGCCGTGTCCCGCAGCTCCTGTTGGTTGTTGGTCTTGGAGCTGTCGTCCCTCGCCGGTAGGTTGTTGCCCTTGACGAACGAGCGCTCGACGGGCGTGAGGCGGAAGAGCTCGGCGATGACACAGAAGCAGCGGGGCAGACGGAGGGGAGGGGCCGGGCCGCCTCCGTTCTTCTTGACCATCTGGAGGTACCAGTAGAGGCCTTGCTCGAAGGGAATTGCCCGCCCGTTGACGACCTTGAGGACGGCGTCCTTCCGCTGCTTGATCAGCTTGTAGTTGAGGGAGAGGACGCATTTGACCCAACTGATGATGCAGACGATGACTTTTCAACCACCAGATGATAATGATCATGTCGGCAAATATCCACTTGATGTTCCACTGGTCGGTGACCCGCACCTGGTGAGTGAGGTCGGCGTACTCGCAGAACCGGGGCAGCACCACCTCCAGTGGGATGGTGATGTGGATGCTCTGGAAGTGCTGCCGGGCGCTGAAGTGCAGCAGGTGGGCAAACACCTCAGGTAGCTGGCGAAGCCCTCAAATCCCCACCGTGGCGCCTGTCCAGGGGCGGCCTTGTTGACCCCCTGCGGGATGACGTCGGGGTGGCGGGTGCGGTAGCCCTGACGATTTCTGATGAACGTTCTGATTTCCTTTGTCGGCTGAGGGGGGCGCCATGATGGTGGCTCAGACGGGCTGATGGCGACGCTCCTTCGTTGAGTTGGTGGTGGTGGGGCAAGAGGGCTTTCTCTCACTCGCTCTGTGGCGGAGGATATCACTGGCTGTGGCTTGGACGCTTTACTGGGGGTAACACGACAGCAGACGATGCACCGCAATCGTCGCAGGTGCATCTAACGCGCGCCTCGGCCAAGATCGTCACACACTGATCTCGCCATCATCACCTGAGGCCAACCAACACCGCAGGAATTATGATGGTTTGTGACTGGCGAAATCCCAACGACACTCCTCAGGGGAACAATGTCGGGATCGCTCAGAAAGGAAAGCGTCGTGCGATCTTGGAGAATCCGTCAGATATAAAACGTAGGCAGCAATCGGAAGTGTGTCTCCGTATCTAATTAAGGGAGACACACATGATCGTATCCACCCTTCCATCACTTTGGCTCGTGTATCATCAGACACTTACGTCGTACCCGAGCTGTTGCAGCAGCGCCTCCTCCCCATCCTGATCCAGCTCGTGGATCTCGGCCGCAGTGCGAAGCGCTCAGGGATGAGGAAGGGGGCGCCGCTCTCCATCTCGATGTACCATCTGCCGTGCTGCTGATACAGGTTGACCCGGCCGTCAACGATACGAGGCTGACGGCCGGTCGCCCTGATCAGCTGGCAGATGGGCACCACGACGACACGGCACCAGATAATGATGCACCAACGAAACCTGACAAGCACACAAGAGAACCGCAATACATACGTCACATGTGTCACCATGGCTAGGATACGCCCACCCATCCATCCATTCCTCCCTCCAGGTGTGTTACCCATCGCCGTACTTCGGGCAGAGCTTGCATACGATGATTATGTCGGTGAAGAGCCACAGCATCTTCCAGTGCTTCTTCATCCGGCACTGCCCGTTGTTGAGGTCAGCCATTCCCCCAGTCAGTGTGTTACCGTCGCTGCTGCTGCTGCTGCTGCTGCCCGCGCCACCAGACACACCACCACCCTGCACACACACGTACCCACGTGGCAGAAGGGAAATGAGTGTGTATGTGACTTTCTTCTATTGTGTGTCCATGGATACCTGGACTACTCCCCCGCCCCCTGCCACTACCCGTAGCTCCCACTCCCACAGCCGTCTGTGAGGTCGCGGCCCCCCCCCGCCCTGCTGCCCATGCTTCCCCGTCGCAGACGCGCCGCCAGCCTGCTGCAGCTGAGCAGCAGGGCCCTCGCGTTGGCTCTTGAGGGGCGACGCACTCTCGTAGCCTGCACACACAAAACAAAGGACAAACACATGCCGGGACGGATGGATGGATCAAGGCATGAATGCGTGATGCGTTCCTGCCTTCTGTGCACTCTACCTTTGAACCGCTTCTCGATGTAGGTTTTCATGTCATCGGTCACGTCGTCGTTCTCGTGCAGTATTCTCCTCAGGTCGCCCCCCTTGTTGTCCATGGATTTGCTGGACTTGACCACGCCCTCTATCGCGCTCCACAGGGCTTGCTCGCGCTGGTGAGCCTTCCTCTGCCTTTCGGCTGCGGAAGACACAGAAACAGAATGCAGCACAATCATTGCAATGGATGCATCCTTGCCAACCAGCTGTGGCGGCCCGTGTTGCTTTCTCTTTTCGTGCGCACCGTTCCTCCCCTTCTTCCCCGGCCTGGTCTTGCTCCCTGGCTTCCTAGGTTGGCTCTCCTGCGGAAGAGGCCGCGCCGCAAGAGGGCTGGGCGCCGGCAGCCCCTTCCCCCGCGACACATGTCCCGACATGGCTCAAGGAGGTCGCAGTGCTCACGAATGCATCAACCTTGTTACCTGCAACAGAGCCGATGAAACGAGCGACGTATAAATGGATGAGGTACATGATTTCACCGCCATCTCACTGCGTCGGGCCGTGGCATTGCGTCTTTCTCACCTTCGCGTTGGCTTTCGATGTTCTGTGAGATTGGTGGGCTTCGGGTCCTGTTCCTCCACCCTGCTGCCACGGGCTGTCGTTGGAAGCCCTCTCGCCTCATTGGGCGGCCGAAGAAACTCCTGAGGAATATGCAAGACACAGGATGCAGTGGCTGTAACTTCTATCGTTCATTTTGTCTGTCCTTCGATATGTACCCGATTCTCGGTAGCTCTGGGATGGGTACATCGCGCAATTCTTCAAAGAATCCTCAAAATATAAAATGCAGGCAGCAATCGAAGGCGTGCCTCCGTCTGTGTCCAAGAGAGACACACATCGTATGCTCCCTTCCATCACCTGGCTCGTGCCTCATCACCGCTGACGTCTTACCCGAGCTGTCGCTGTTGCGCCTCTGTCGGCGGCCCAGCCTGACCCGCCTGCTGCCGTCCTGTCTGCTCTCGTTGTTGCCCGCGCGGGACACGCGGCTCTGCACGCTGCTGCGGCTGCTTCGGCGGCTCCACGTGCGGCTGCGAAGGATGGCGGCCTGGATGCGGCGAGTGGTATCCGACAGTCTCACGTGGCCGCTTGTGTGTGTGTTGCGATTGTGGCGCATCGCATTGCGAATGCGGCGGCGGACGGCCCTGGCGTCCTCGTCGTCATTGTCGTACCACTCGCCGTCATCCCCACCCTCGTCGGCCTCGTCGTCATCGGGCAGCGGATTGTTCTGCTCCCACTTGCCCATGATGGCCTGCAGGTCGTCAGCCGAGAGGTCCCACCCGGGCGGGACGTGGCCGCTGTCATCACTGACACCGAAGAGTGCGGGCAGCAAGCCCAGACACTCCTCAGGGTCGGTGATGAGGTAGGACTCGGCCTGGACCTCCTCCGCACGAGGAGGGGCTGGAAGGCCAGGGAGAGAGAGAGGAGGGCCACCACGACCGTGAGAGAGCGGCAAGGCATCCTTGCTCGCG